GCACAGCCCACGTGCCTTGCGGGCCGTGTCGTGCCGGGCCGGGGGCCAAACCGTGCCAGTCTTTTATTTTTTTATTTTTTTTTAATAAATGAAAAAAAAAACGAATTAAACAATATATATTTTTTTTAGTACAACTTAATATATGTGATTAATTTATGTTTATGTTAAATGTTAATGTTAATATATTTTGTTTTCATTTTTTGAACAACTTTATTTTAATTTAGGTTATATAAATTATTTATCTAATTAATAATTATGTTTAAGTTTATTTAAACAAATAAAAACAATTTTATTAATTTAGCAAAAAACAACAATGCATATAATAAAAAAAAAATACGAGTGCGATAATCCGAAAACACAAAAAATTGAAGAATAACTTATTTTATTATATGACGGTAGCCGGTACGAATGTACGATAATTCAATAATAGAAAATAAGTAATGATAATTAAAAATCGTACAATAGTGTATGAATAATGAATAACTTCATTTATTATACGGAATACGAAGTTCGATAATACAAAAAGAATACAATAATGTATAATGTAAATATGTAATCATGTAATTATTATTGGTCGTCTTCGTCTTCGCCTTCGTCTTCATCTTCGTCTTCGTCTTTGTCTTCTAGAGGTTCAAGTTCATCCGCCAATTGAGTTGATTGAGAAGTATGAGAACTAAAAGAAGTCGACGTTCCTTCATCGTCGTCGTTTTGTGCATAAGTACGATCTTGAGAACGAGTTTTGGCATCCAACCAATCCTTGAAGCAAACACACATTTCAAGTGTTTCGGGTTTTAGTCTTGTTCTTCTATTGTCTAAAACTCGTCCCGACGCACTAAAAGCTCTTTCGGAGGCAATGGAGGAGACTTGGATTGCAAAAATATCACGAGCCATTGCCGACAAAATTGGATGTTTCACGGTTTGTGATTTCCACCAATCGAGGATGTCGAGGCCAAACTTCTCTTCATCGTCCATGCCTTTCATGAAGTCGTAACTTAAGTACATTTGCAACTCCGAAACATCGCTTTGTGTTCTCTTACTTGATGATGATTCCGTACCTGAAAACTTGGACATCATGTTAGCAGCTTGTGCAAATAAACCTTTGGCCCGTTTACTTACATTTTTGGATGTTTGAGAAGGGGAAAATCGAGACACGGTTCCATATTTACTTTCATAAACTCTATATAAAGAAAAAAAATCATTTGTCACCTTCCTTTTAAAAGCTTCAACATCATCTTCAAAATTCATGTTACTATAATAAATATCAATTAATAAAAAGGTGCCATCATATTTTTGCCTAGGATCTAAAATAGAAGCAAAAATATAAGTCATAGGAATATCGGTGTAATATTTACGCCATTTTTCCTCCATGGATGGAAGATATCCACGATAAACATGTTGAGATCGGTGTTCCGCAAAAAGTTGTGCAAGTAAACATGCATTACTAAGAAAAGAATGAGAACAAGGATTATATACAGAAGAAAAACAATGTGTCATACCATATAGTAATTGTAAAAACTGCATATATTTTTCACAATTAACCCAATCATCTTCTAGCAAAGCATTTTGTGGAAATTTCATATTATAAAAAAGTGTTAAATGAACCTTGTACTCGATTGCCCGACTCAACATTTCATAGGTGGAGTTCCACCTAGTTGGACAATCCGGTGCTATTTTTATGGTTTTTATCCGTTGTTGCCTGCAAAAACCTTTCCATTCTTGATATCTCATGTTAGAGTTATTAATAGACATAATAGCATTCCTTATTTTGTGATAAAATGGACCAATTGCTTGTGTTCCATCCTTCACACACAAGTTAAGAACATGACAAATGCATCTAACATGAAGTGCATCTCCATCTAATATAACATCGGTCAATTGGTTTTTGACCAAATTCGCACTATATGTCATAGAAGTTGCATTATCGAAAGTCATTGACATGATTTTATCCCTAAGACTATATGCATCAATGGCTTCCATTAAATGATGTGAAATGTTAAGACCGGTATGAGGGTATTCAAGCATTTTGAAATGAATGATGCGTTTTTGTAACATCCACTCATTATCTAACCAATGACAAGTAACACATAAATAGTGGAGTCCGTAACCACCATCCCATGCATCGGCGGTTAAAGAAACTCTACTAGGAAGATTAGCTAATTCATTTACTAATTTCAATTTGTACTCTAGATAACTCTTCATGGCAGCAGATCGAACGGTTTTTCGGGAGATTTTTTTGTGTTTTGGTTGTAGTGCTCGGTTAACATAGTTGTTGAAGGCATCATTTTCGGCGAAAAGAAAAGGTTGTTCCGCATGTACAATCATTCTCCCAAGTTCATCCTTATCTCTCTCGTAATTGTAAATGAAGCCTTGTGGATGGAATTGAGAAATTTTGGGTTGGGTTGGATCACTAGATGGTCCACCACATTTTTTTGTATGTCTATTAAGGTGTCCCGTCCCTCCCTTGGTATCGGCCGAGAAAATTTTACCACAAGTCCGACACTTGGCCTTTTGTCCATTTTTACTTAATTGATAATGTGACCAAACTTCATTCTTTCTTTTGGTTTGAGCAAAATCCTCTTCGGTACACCACTCTAATATGTTAGGATTTTGGGTGTTGGGCATTTGGGTGGATGGTTCACTCGACCCGGAGGCTTGTGTTTGGCTACCTTGGGAAGGAGGAGGAAAAGGAAATTCATGTTGTTAAAATTGGCTTTGTTGAAATTGGGTCCAAGGAGCCATATCATCCATTTGTTCTTGCCCTCCCGTGTTTTGGGGATGAAAGAAAGGGGTGGAAGTGTTTGGAAAGGGCATGTTAGGGGAGGGAAAGGGCATGTTAGGGGGGGGCATAGGCATTGAAGTGTTTGGATTTGGTGATTCCCTACGTTTTGACTTAGCTTTTCTAGAGGAGGAGGAAGCGTTCGGGTTTGATGCCATGATTAATTAATAATAATAACAATAAAAGTAATAATAACAATAATAATAATAATACAAATAACAATAATAATAACAATAAAAGTAACAATAATAATAATAATAATACAAATAACAATAATAATAACAATAAAAGTAACAATAATAATAATAATAATACAAATAACAATAACAATAACAAAGTAACAATAACAATAATAATAACAATTCACAACAATAATAATAACAATAACAATAAGAATTAGTAAGTAGTTTTTATATAAATTAAATTTTTAAAAATAATTATAATAATAGTAGATTACTTGGATCAATGCGATCCCAGGTAGGAGAGGTTAGGAGCGACGTTGTCCAAAGCCCAAGTCCCGCCTTAGACAGATTTCAACAATCCAAATAACCCACAATTAAAATAGAAAGTAGTTTTTATATAATTAAGTAGTTCCAACTTCCAAGAATATAATAATAATAATAATAATAATAATAATAATAATAATAATAATAATAATAATAATAATAATAATAATAATAATAATAATAATAACAAGATTAACAACTAACAATAACAAATTAAAATAAAGTTGAGTTAGATCTTACAATGACGCTTCAATGCTTTCCCAAATTTATAATTTCCCGAACTTATAATTTCCCGAATTTATAATTTCCAGAATGTAAATATAACAATTTTTTTTTTGGTAGTAGACTAATAAAGGTAATAATAGTAAAAATGTAAAATTTATAAGAGAGTAGGAATTTTTTTTTTTTTTTCACAAAAGAGAGCAAGATTGTAGGATTTGTAGGAATTTGAGAATTGAGAATTTGGGAGTAAGAAAATTAGAGAATAAGAGAGAAGAGATGAGTTGATGAATTGTGAAAATTTTGGAGGAAAATATGAGGTATTTATAGGGAATTTGGGTGGGAAAAGGGGTGGAAAACTAGCCGTTTATAGCTGTTGGAAAACGGCCATAAACGGCTAGTTTTCCAACGGTAAATGGCACGGGCCGTGCCATGCCGGGTCGTGCCTTGCGGGCTCGTGCCGTGCCGTGCCCGGCCGTGCCACGTGTCGTGCCGCCGGGTCGTGCCAGCGTGCCGGCCCACGTGCCGGCCACCGTGCCGCCCGGCGTGCCACGTGCCGTGCCCGTGCCAAATCCCACACATTTGTTCACGGCACGGCCTACGGCCCACAGGTGGGCCGCCGTGCCGGGCCGTGCCGGAGTCGTGCCGGGCTCGTGCCGCCCGCGTTCCGGCACGGCCCGTGCCCATGTTTAATAATAGGTCTAAACAAGTCAGCACTTTCATATTATTTAAAAAATTCAAAAAAAAAACCTAATCAGGTCTATTCAGGTCCAAACCCGGACCAGACCTAATTTTTCAGGTCTTGACCGGAACCGGACCTGTTGATTCAGGTCCGGTCTCCGGTCCTTAAAATCAAGAATTCAGGTCTCGGTCCATTCAGGTCCGGGTCAGGTCCAGTCCGGTTTTGGACCGGTGTACAGCCCTAGATACAATGACTTAGTGTAAACTACTATCTGATATGATCTAAACTGATTAGATCGGATTTCACAATTCTTATCTTACCTATCATCAAAATAAAATAAAATAAAATAAAAGCCGCATTTGATATCCTAGCCCGATTTTGTAACATTGGCCTACTCTATATGGGCTAATGTTTAATTTAGTTAGTTTGATGTAGCCCTTGCCCTTAAATACCCTCCACCTTCTCTCAACTAGGCCCGATGTAGTGACCACAAGTCACAAGATATGAAATCCATGTTTTGTGGTAGGAAAATAAACAAATAAAAAATAAAATAAATAAAATAAAAACTCACATGTGAACCCTTAATTAATTTTCTCGTGTAGATAATTAATTTTAAAAACTTCTTTATATAACAGTCTTGTTGCTTTCATTTTCATGTCGATCCATTGGGTCAACTGACTCAACTTTCATCTGATTCCCATAATTATTGTCACACTTAAGTTCATCTTTAATGTGTAAAAATTATAAAGGCATCCCTACTATCCTAGTACTATTGAAAGTTGTTTACAAATCACAATTACTATATGAAACTGAATAAGACTATGTTCTTTTTGACTTTTACAAGATCGTGTTACATGTAGTCGTAAGAGATTCATATTCTTATAGGAACTACAACTTTCGAATTCTCAAAACTCACAAACTTATGATAAATCCAATGATGAAAAATATCTTCTATGGTCAATTATCGAGCAGTTTTAATAGTGTCGTTGTTTCCCTCCAAAAGCACAGATCAAATGATCAGTCTACGACCAATGAATTTGAAGGAGTAACCATTGAAGAGCAACCCCATATTCCCCTACTCTTGCAAAAGTCTAATGAAAGATCCGATTCATCTATGCATGATGAGCTTCGCCACTTTCGAAGATGCTTGAAATGGTGTGCACTTGATCTCTCTTCCTCCCTAGGCAAAAACATATCATACCTCACCTTTGTTATCCTCGCGATAATCATTCCAATCTTAACCACTATATCCATTAAAATTCCATCTTCTTCCTCTCCTGATAAGCCTCTTTCATTCAACAAACTAGTACAACTCCCTGAATCCGGCCTAGCCTTTATCGGGTTCTTAACATTATATCGATTTTTCAAGGAATATGGCCTTAAGCAACTCTTATTTCTTGATGGTCTAAATGATGATTCCTTAGATGTTCAACTTGGTTATAAGTATCAAGTAGATAAAGCCTTCAAAAGCCTTGCTTTCATCCTACTCCCTTCTTTTATCGTCGAATTTGTGCATAAAATTCTCTTCTTCTCAACTGTTGTTGTTTCATTTCCTGTTATTGGTGTTTTACCAATCAACACAATCATGTTTATATCAAGTTTCATGTCATGGGTGTATAGGACCGGTGTTTTCTTGCTTGTATGTGTCCTGTTTCGGCTAACCTGTGAGCTCCAAATACTTAGGCTCGAAGGCCTAAGACATATGTTCGAGGGTTCAGGGTCCGAGCCATGTGCTATATACTTAGAACATCGTAGAATTAGAGATCAATTCTATGTTACAAGCCACAGATTTTGGTTCTTCATTGTTGGGTGCATGGTTACCATCACAGTTAGTCAATTGGGTGCACTTTTGCTGGTTTTAGCCTCCAAGTCCGACAAGAATTTCTTGAATTCGGGTGATCTTGTGGTAAGTACTCGTACTCCTTACATCAGCCTCTACAATGAACACATTAATTCGTTACAAAAAGTTTAAAACTCGTGTATGTAGTCGTGTTTAATAATCGATTTAGCCATGAAAATGCCTAAGAAAAATGTAGGTAAAAACAGAACACGACTGAAATTAATGTAACATACTTATATGGTAGAGAATAACTAGTTGTTACCTTAGAACTCAAGGATACAGAGGTACGAACCTATAGAACAGATCCTGTTCAAGTAAGGTCGTGAGAATAACTAGTTGTTACATACACATTCGTTACCAAAACATCGAAATATAAGCAGAAATCTAAGCGAAGGGTTATGTCCATTTATTTTTATAACTACAAATGTACAAATGGACTAGTGTCTAATTCATGTGTATAAAAAATTTTGTGCTTGAATTGTAGGTATGTTCAGCAAAGCAATTGAGTGGATTTTTCTTATGTTTGATGGGAGCAGCAAGAATAACACATAGAGCTCAAGGCATTGTTTCGGTTGCTACAAGATGGCACATGCTTATGACTAGTTGCTTTGATAGTACAAACCATAACAAAGGTAAGAACTCCTCGAGTCAAAGCTCGGATGATTTCGATCAGTCCTCGTTAGACGAAGCTGTTGTCAAAGACTCAAATGATCAACATGCCTTCCAAACTAGACAAGCTTTAGGTAATTAAATGAGGAAATCTTAATATTTTGCAAGAAGAACCACTATTGGCTTTAGTAGCTAGTTTAAATATAGAGCCGCTAATGCCATTAGCATTTAGAAGTTTCACTATGCGTTTAAAAAATAAATGTGTTCCGTTATTTTAAGCTTATGTGACTGTAGGATTTTTTTTGGGTCTAATACGGGTTAATGTTGATTTTCTTTTGTGTAGTGACATACTTGCAGCATAACAATGGTGGGATTACATTATTCGGATTCGCGCTTGATCGTGGAATGCTTCACACTTTATTTGCATTTGAAATGTCACTAGTTCTCTGGATATTAAGCAAGGCAATTGTACTATCTTGAATGATAATCTCCTGAGTGTTCACAACAAATTCATGTTTCACCCTAGTTTGCAATATTTTTTTTTGTGTGGATAATATACATATCAAATGAGTTCTGTTTTTGTGAAATGTAATATTGTTAAGGCAACAAAAACTTATTGTATGTAATTTTTCAACAATTATCCTATTCATGTAAATTCTATCCTTGGCATTTTTATTTGATAATAACTGCACATGGTTTGGTTCATTCAATCAATTACGGCTTTCAAATAGGTTTTAACTAAAAACTCTATCCACTACGTCTTATATTCAGCGAAATTAACTTTAATTATCTTAATATATTTATCAATTAACCCATTTTTTTTCTCAATTACGATCAATTACGTGGATGCTTATTGAGAGTTAATCATCTTACAATCCTCATCCTACCTTTTTTAGGCAATACAAGTTCCCATAACAAGAAGAAAGACTAAATCACAAATTGGGTCCAATAAAGCCACAAAAAATTACTTTAAAATAGCTAAGATGAATATATAACCAACAACGTGACTCTGTGGCCCAATGGATAAGGCGCTGGTCTACGAAACCAGAGATTCTGGGTTCGATCCCCAGCAGAGTCGACTTTATTTATATTTTTGCTTAATTTCTTTTCTTGATTTTTAATTTTTATCATTCCTTGATTGATTTGGCAGATTACTAATCAAAACATATTGTATTTATGTATCCCTTTTAGTTTAAATAAATCAGGTATTAAGTCTCATTCTCAAAACTTTAAACCAATTCAATTAAAATAGTTGACATTGTTCATTTGTATACTATCTTAATTAGTTATACATTGTTCGTTTGTACAAGATACATAAATCTTTTAGATTGCCCTTTCTAATTACCCGCCATGGCACCATAAGGCGAGATATTACCATGCCAATAGTAAAAATTGTGAGGTTTTACCATCAAATAGCTTACAAACCATTGGTAAAATGATAATCCACACATATTATTACTTCTATGTTGTTATCCAAGTTTGATGATAGTTGAAATCTATCAGCTATCAAGCCATCAGCCATTCCCATGTTGTGGATGGCTGATGAATTTCCAAAGCCAAAAAATAAATGCCTTTCTTTTCATTGTGATAAGAAATTCCATGGCTTGACAAAAACCCTAATCTAAGAGGTTGTTCCTCGAAATACCCCCTTCTTTCCCAAACTTCCCAAAACATCTCATATTTTAAACTTTTCATCCTCAATGTACTCTATATAGTCTATACATGTACCTAAATAAAAATAAAAAATTACCGACCATCTCCGAGATGAATTGGGCAGCCCTGCATTTCCATAAATAGACAAAAATCCATACAGCATTGAATACTAAATATAGTAACTCTCAGCAACAAAATTGATTTACCATCATCAACAAAAATTGACATGGTCACTTAAGTCTATACCTATAAAATTAGTCAGTTAGCGCTAAACTGCTATAGAGGTCAGAGGTACCTTGTTAACCTTTCTCCACTGCACCACAAAGGTGTTCCAGATTTTTGGCAAGATCTCCGAGGCACTCAACAAGCTTGTCAGCTTTACGTCTAACATTTTCAGTCTTCAGGGACTCCTCATTTCTTACACTGGTCAAGTCCTCGTCAACATTTTCAGTAACATTTCCTGCAAGTATGGCATGGATCAGCTCTGTGTTCTCCATGAGTTTCGCAGCCAGGATTTGCTCCATGTCTTCAGCAACAGGAGGCTCTGGAATCACATGCTCTACCTCTGTTACAGGCTGTTTCCTCCCTTCAGATAACCGTTTTTTAGGGATTGACCGACGCCTTCGCTTTTTGGGTTTTGGACCTAAAGCAAACAATAGTAAACGGAGAAAGCTCAATTTTTGAATCAAGATATAATAGAGCATGATAGTTGAGAGGCCTGACAGGTGACATAACTCTTACATAGAGATGAATGGCAGTTATCTAGAAAGGACATACTCTTCTAAGGTTTTCATGGAAAACTGATGGAAGAGTTTCAAACAATATGACTCTTTTGGATCGGGTCAAATAAAATCAAGGGCTGGAGAGATGGACTCTAACCAATAGTACCCCTTTGGGTGAGCATAAACCTTAACTGCTTAGAATCTCCTCACAAGTCAAAGTCTAGGTATACTACAACAAAATGCAACACAAATGTCCCACTCACAATTGGGTATGTATACTATGCAAGGTGCAATACACAAGGAGACAGTAAGGCGAGAAGTATAGTCAGCTGTATACTCCTCAGAGTGTTTAGAACTCAGTCCCCTCTCACCCATTCTTCTCATCAAAAGCAATGACTACTTTACCATGGTTGTACCAAAATAACCCTTCACTCCATCCCCCCCCCCCCCCCTCCTCCAAAGCTATCTAAATTGCCCCTGAGTGGTTGAACAGAGACATGTGGACCACTCCTCAGCAGGGAAGTGGAAGCAGAACACTAATTCAATCAAGCAGCTTTTGTATTACTAAGTTTTATTCCAAATAATTAGTACTCATGTTCAAGACCATTATTTTGGGGTATTTACTGGTGGCTAACAGCCTTTCTTGACAAAATTTTAACTGGTTTTAGATTGTTTTACTCAGATAAGGTCAAATTCAATTTCTAGTCATATAATAGTTCAAATCTCAATAGATAGGGTTGGTTCAGGACCTGAATTAGTCAGCTGCTAGGGGAAAGTAGATGGACAGAATCGCTATATCCTTATCTAAAAAAGGCACCCCCTTTGTCCCGTATTACTTGCAACACTAATTGACATGCTTACATTTGCACAACTTTACCCATCAATGTCTTTAATTATCTATTAGTAAAAATCATAAAATGTTGGAATATACATTAAAATATACAGAATATCATACTATAATTTGTTTTTAAATATCAAGGGAAAAAATGGTCAAAATAGGTTATATGAATAATGCAAAACGTCAAACTATTGCAAGTGCTGGGAAGAAGGGAGTACTACTAAACAAATTTAAATCAAAAGGGAAACCGACTTAGATTAAAATGGCAAAAGCATCACATGTCAATATTTTCACTATGCAAAGGAACTACATTCGTGATTTGTATAGAAAAACATATTACCGGATTCCTCAGCATCAAGAACATCAACCTCTCCCGCATCCGGATCACATTCTGGGTCTGTATCTGCTCTATCTGATGCCTTCATGAAATCCTCCATAGCTTTATACAGGTCTTTGTCAAATTCCAAAGGAAGACCAGCTTCTTTTCTCCTATCACACCCAAGAGACCAGTAAGAATCACTCCCAGAGTTCAATTTCCATTCCTTGACAAGATTGTAATCAGCAAGCAAGGACTGCCACTTTCTGCGGCACTGGTTTGCATTCCTTCCTACTCCCAGTGCAGTACAAGTTTCTGATATAATGGTCCATTTTTGATGAGTTGACAGAGAATTTTGCCAGTCCCCTTCAACAGCAGCAATTTCATTCACAAGAATAAGCATATCTTGTACAGTCCATACTGCTGCTGCTTGTAAATGTGATCTGGTGCATCGAGAACCAGAAATTGATTCTGCAAGTTGACCCACATCTGCTTCCCTCATTGTCTCTACTATCTGTTTCAGGAAGCTCAAGCAGCACCTTCTCGTTCTTTATTAAGTTAATTAAAGCACGTGACACAGCTACAAGTCAAAAAAGAGAAGATTAGTTGGTTAGCTACATTAGCATGCATATTTTACAAGATGATATTTTCAACTTAGATATCATATGTTACATGTCACTCATGAAACCCCTGGTTACTCTGACGAGAAGTCAATCTTCCATGGTTAGGGATAGTAAGAAGATGAGCTAACAGCCTGACTCTAATGCTACCGTTTTGAGTTTTGCCTCTCCTGGCTTTAAGATATATACAATATACCACCTACACACATTTGGTAGCCATGCAATAATAGGAATGAATATAAAGTGTAATTTAGTATGGAAAACAACCCTACTATCTCCATGCACAATCTCATCCCCCAATCTTGTGTTTTCTTCATGCTTTTCCATTACCATCCATTACAACTTGGGAGGTGGTATTAGGAAGAAGAGATAGCTAATGCATATTCTTAAGTTATATTACTAGTTCTCATATATCTCATGCTTGCTTAGATGCTTACTTCATACCCAACCCAAAAAGACTAAAGACAAGTCAAACTAGATCCATCTACCACAAAAGTAGGCTATCCTCTTCATGCACTACCTTGTGCTCCACAAAAAACTAAAGGTCTTATTTAAGAAATACAACCTATGGGCACTTAAAGTTCCTATATTTAGTCCACAATGAAGTATCAAGTGTCCATAACCAATCAACCATGTCTGAATATTTACTATTTAGAATCAATTATGTATTATTATTTGCAACTTTTAGTACTCTCGCCATCCCATAATAGTTCGAACACTTATCTTAGCACATAATTTTAGGAGATAAGTTGTTGAGATGTTATCAATTACTTCCGCCGTATCAAATTAGTTGACATGTTTCTTTTATCACGTTTGTCAATGCATCAATCAATCAAAAATATATTTAATTATACTATTGGAAAAAAAATACTAGAAAGTGAATTTTTATTAAGTACACATTGGAATGGATCTAACTGACAAGATCCAACATGACTATATGTATTCATATCTTTGGTAAAAAAAAAAAGCGTATTCATATCTATAATTCACAAATGTCATTCAAAGTGAAGATTATGAATAGCGTCAAAAGTCAAAACGTGGCAACTAATTTGGAACGGAGGTAGTAATATCTGATAAAAAAGTGTATGTGATTGGAGATAGTGGGTATTACTTTATTGTAGAAGTAGATGCGATAGAAAATACTGAGGTTGATTATTGAATGTGAAAGTGGGGCCCAAACTATTTGGTAGTGGAAAGACCGAAAGAGAGATCTATCAAAATAATAGTGGGGTCTTTCTCGACAGAGTAAAGGAGAGTGTTCAAACTATTATGGGATTGGAAGGAATAATACAATTAAACATGATGAACACCAATTGTATCGGTTACTATTCACCCTGACAACTAGGGCAATTTCTCCTATAATGTAAATGTAAAAACCCTTGTAACGAGTAATGACCATTGAATTGGACATCCTAAATCAAACTTTTAGTGAATTTCATCAAATTATAATGTCACATTCTACGCCACAACTCAGCCCATTATGATCTCAAGTCGAACCAAGTCCAAATCAACATCACTAGTCAGGGTTTGACTGGCTCATGTAACTTGTGAGCAAGCTCATATTTTTATCACCTCTAGTCCTCTACTCACATGCAACAACATGTCCAATCAAACTGACTGACAAATTGAAGTTCCAAATCTCTGGTTAGTCTGATAAGAAAATAACAGATAACATAAGGACCAGCATGTAGCAAAAGGCACTGATTGCAGGCCACACTCTACAGCTAATCAAATACAGCGCAATACATGCCACTATTGCAAATTTGGAATTTATTCCATATTTGCTTTACTTCAATTGTGATCCTTGATTCAAATTCTAATACTATACAATAAGCCTTCCATCAATGAAATCACTATTTCATTCTCCATTCAGATAAGTTCAAATGAAATCTATAATAAGAACATGAAATGAAGCTCCTCAAGGCTAACCCCTTCCCAAAAGACCCCCTGCGCCTATATAATAATTCTCTGAAATAAACCGATGCTCCGTCCTCAAGTGAGAACAAGTTGCTACAATAGACTATTCACAATTTCACACTCTAGTAGGATTTCAACATATATACTACTGAGCTATCCAGGGAATGGAAATAATTGCTTCTACGGAATATTCCTTGGAGAGGGGGGAGAGGAGGTCCAATTGTAAACATCTCTTGGTGCCATGTCAGCTCCAACAATCTGATAAGCAAGATTAGTATATTATTGAAGAGTCCAAAGAAAGTAGCCATAAGATCACCATTACTGTGAGACAATGAATTGCCCTTGCTTTCTAATTTGATGCAGGTTACTTAGCTAAACCCACATGCAATCCTTCCTAACCTTTATAATCCTTACCAATAGGTATAAAGTCCACTCTTAGGCTCTTAGCTTATCCGAAGAATGTCAAAAGAAAGGCGGACTACTGGACTAGTATTGGAACAGACAGTGACTGCATGTATACCTCCAGATAGATGCAAAACTCCAATTCTCTGCCAAGTGCCAACGCACTAAGCACTAATACCACATGCCATTTCATCCATAATCTCCTTATACATCATATAAGGCCTCAATAAGACATAATAAAGGATTGTAGATTAGTCAGTAATCATATTATTATTTGACAATAAAACTTAAGTTCCCTGATAGTTAAAAAAACTCCAAACTTTCTATTCCAATTAATTTCACTCACAAAATTCTACAGCAAAACTCATTTCATGATCATCACAACAAAAAATAAATAAATAAATAAAATAAAATAAAATAAGCACAAAAGGCCACACTATAGCCTAACAACCCCAAGTCCGCAACTTCCCACACTCATTCTTCTTCCCAAAGCAGTTCACAACATAGTCAAATTTATCTTTCCAAAGATCCAAATCCAAACAAAGCAAAATCTTAACACAGCCTGAAGTGCTAAGTAACATAAAGCTACCTTCTTGATCGACTTTAGATTATGAGCTCCACTTTCCAATCCCAAATGAACCACATATCTACTAAGCAGCAGCATATACATATACTTTCTTCCTTAATTTTAAATCATCATATGATGAGCAGCATTGTCCTTAATAATATATCTTTACTCTGACAAAGTAAAATTAAAAATAAATACAGTAATAATTGAGTTATACTCTTCACAGCAGAGATAGAGTACCTAGAATAGTTTACACTAGTACTCAAACTCTTAAAGTATCAGTTGATACTAATAAGAGTCACAAACTCCATATATGAGCAGGATTACAAATGTGAGAGCATGTATGTCTTACAACATATTGCCAATTTATAACCAAATAATAACCCCTAAAATATGGTTTTGTGATCTATCATTCCTTATCTTTAAACAATTAAATGCACTGACTGCACATTTTTAAGCTGATAGGATAACAAGAAACCCGCATGATGATTTTTTAATCAAACTATACCAACGATTGACACTCTCGTAGAATACCAACAACAAATTCTTAGCATACTAAAGAAAGAGCCCCTTAATTTATTACTCCTTCACAGTTCACAGTAGTCTTTATAAATCAAACCATAGAACAACAAGCTCCACTTCTCTGAATGCATTAGATTATTTAAAATCTTACAACTAGTACATACTACATAGTATAACTTCTGCACATTAACTCTCACCAACAAATATCACCACTTTGCAAATAGCGATTAGCTTAACATTCTTCTAAGTTTTCACCCTTAACCATTAAACCCATAATAGATACACTGCCTTTGTGAAGCTCCACAAACTTTCCTACTAGATTAGTCAACTTTTAGTTAAACCTCCCCATAACAATATAACACCACAAACTTTCCTAGCTTAACTTTGCCTTCTCGAAAGCTTCGTCCAAGCATTACCCATTTTGTGCATCCACTAGGATCTCCAATTCTTATATCACCATTCATCACCCTTAACCTCTTTCTCTCAATGATATCCCATTCCTCGAACCACGATAGTAACTGCTGGTTCTGCTTAATCGCATCAGTTATTTTATTTCTACTCCTGACCACTCCCTCCATTCGAAACTAACAGGCACATCAATAGTGTAATTGTAATTTAAACTAGTAACGCGGCAACTACATCCTCACCAAGTAAGCAACCACTAAAAATTGAAAAAGACAAAACCAAATTGAATAAGTTATTAAGAATTTCAGACTCCCCATAATTCAAAAGAAAAACAGCTTATCCACAAAAAAAATAAAAAAAATAAAAAATAAAAAAATAAAAAAAATATAAAAAATAAAAAATAATTTGCAAAAAAATATCAGCAAATAAAATCACAAACCCGCAACAAACAAGAAGAACAATCAAATTATAGCACAACATAGATTGAACAATTAACAATTAATAGAATAAAAATTGAAAATGAAGAACAGTAAAGCTGAAAAAAACGAGGAATTTTAGAAGAAATTAAAGAGGAAAATAGAAATTAGGATTCGCTTTTTACCTGGAATTGAAGTTGAATTACATGAATACAGACGAATTTGGAGATAAAAATTAGGGTTGATGTTGCCGCCGATTACCGGAGAAAGGAGTGGGTTTGTCGGAATCCATGGAAATTAATTGTAAGAAATGAGGAATTTTTATTTGAAATAGTGTAAGAAAAAGGTAGAAAAGGGCAGGTTAGATCGCGGGAATCGTAGATCACTTGTTTTCTTTGATTTCGGAACTGAGATACTACCAAATACGGAGTACTCCGTATGTAAATACGGAGTGTTGTGTTTCGGAGTGTTGTGTTACGGAGTATTGTACTCCGTATGTTAGGCACAACATTTAAATTAAGTTTAGCGGACACCTTTTAATTTTGAAACTAGTGCGTGACCCGGCCACTTGGGCACATTTCCTGTACGTTCTCCGTAGTATGTTACTATGTTAGGCACTAGTACATTCAAATTAAAATTGGATAGAGAGTGATGGATAGCTCAAGTGGTTAGAGTTTCCCTCCCGATTTCAGGAGATCCTGGGATCGATTCTCACCCCCGCCCTTATGGCTCTCTAAACACTAAGGCCCTGGGTTGTTAAATAATTTTGACAATTTTATTATAAATTTTTTAATATAATGACTTGAGTATTAAAAATTATATAATATATTAAAAATAAAAGCATGCAAGAGAAAATATTTAAAAAAACATGTAATAGTTATAAACTTATAATGGATAGTTTAATCTTTTAGGAAAAGATTTATATTTTATATAAAACAAATTATGTCATAATTTAGATATAATTTTTATTTTCCTTAAGTAACAATAATTTTTTTAGAAGGTATTTTTGGCGGGAAATTTTTTAATAATACATTGACACGTGTGTCTTTAGATTCGCTTTTAGTAGTATGTAATTGATTAGTATTATTTTTAATCGGAGCAGTTCTAAAGAACGGGGCCATTTTAACTTTGAGGTGTGGGATCCATTAGGGCATCAACAATGATGTAAAAATAAAACTTTAATTCAATCGGTCAAAGATTAATCCCATAAAACTGTGACTCAGAGTTTCGAACCCCAGTTGTCCATTTTTAATTGCAATTTTTAAATAATTATAGTTAATAGTTTATTTTCCTCCTTTGTTATCCATTGTAAATGCTCATAGCCATGGGCGGATTATTGTTAGGGCTGAAGAGGGCTTGGCACCTAATAACTTATGGAAAAAAAAAAAAATTATACGGAGTACTGTACTTTGTTTGAAGGCCCATTTAAAAAAAAAAACCATTGTTTTTCCTATTTGCCTAGTAGCGTAGAAAAGGTAACTAACTATAGAGTATAAGCAACCTACAACCCAATTTCCAAAAGTACTGACAATTCGTTATTGTTAAAATAAATTTCTAATTCGTACGTTATATTGGTTTGTTTGAGCACTAGAAAATAATTAATAATTTTAAGCGAGAAGACGTTATTAAGGTCGATAAATTACTCTGTTAAAAAGTATAAAGTAAGTTTTTTTCTTTCATACCTTCAATATGTCGTTATATATTTTTCTATTTATATGAGTATTTATCAATTAACAAGTTGTTTTTAACACCTTAGCATTTATAATAAAAAATTGCACTGAATTTGTAAATAATTTTCATATGCTTACATTAAAAAGTATTGGCCCCTGAAAGAAAAGGTTTCAAGATCCGCCACTGCTCATCACTATTATCAATTGGGGGCATTTTGTGCTTGCTATGATTCAATCCCTAGACCTAATGAGTTGCATCAAGTTTAAAGTATAAATTGAAATATCATTGGGACAGTGCTTCCCCCGTGATACATTTGTAGAATAAACAATATATGGTTGCAATTTTTTTTTTTTAGGAAATATATAACTGTAGTTTGAAAACAACTTTATATTGTCCAACTACTATATTGCTGATTTGTTGGTGTATATCAAATATATTAATTATTTTTGTTTACAAAAAAAAGATAAATTAAATTATTAACCATACAACCACCGACCTGTCCCCCTTCCCCTGACTACTGACCCCTCCCCTTCCCACCGGTGACCCCAGCCCCTCCTTCCCCACCCTTCCTTCTCCGGTTGGCATGACTTTCTAGCCCCTTCACAAACCCTAAACCCGCCGCTTCCCCCTTTGTAATCAATTGCCATAAAGTTTGGTTATGCGCGCTCCCACAACTAGTATAGCAAAAGTAATAGACGCACAAGTGCATAACGGATAGATGTATACAGCAAAAGTAATAGACGTACAAGGAATAAAGATAGATGTACATACAATTATTTAACAAAGATAAAAAACTAAATTCAGCCTTAGATCGAGAAATTAGCCAAAACAACATGATAAACTTGCAAAGGCAAATTACAAGCATTCCTAAAAGAAGTGTTACGGAAATAACATATTGTAGACACCCATTTGTGTCTCCCCAAAACCAAACCCAGTGATGAGTGCCTTTCACGTCGAATCATAATCGAATGAAACGAAAGTGTGGAAAGGTCTAGCGTTGCGGAAAGTTTTATTTCTTTTCTTTTCTCTTCTCTCTGTTTTTGAAAACTTTATTTTAAGAAAACAGCCAATCCAGTTTGGTTGGTCCATGATATGGGTCCAATAGTGGTGTAGTTGGATGGGGCTTGCAAAGACCTTTCCAACGACATATTATAAGCCCAATTCCGATGAATATTGAGGAAGTTATGGCCAATTTACTAAACTGGGCCCGGTTTGAGCTTTAAGTACGGCCCAATGATCTAGGGGAGGGCCTGATATGATTTATCATTCCTAATGTAATTAGGAATGGTTTTAGTCTTCTAGAATCTTCTAGAAGGTCTTATCATTCTTAATTCAATTAGGATTCTTCAGAGTTTTAATTAGATCAAATAGCATTTTCGACTGAAATTATATTATTTTATCTTCCAGTACAGTAAAATTATCAGATTTTCGAAAGCGCGTTGAAATCCAATTTGGCGTCCAACCCCAGGCCTTGGCGCCTGGAATCAGGTTGGCGCCAGACTCCAGCCATTGGCGCCTGGCGCTAGCCACTGGTCCTGGCGCCAATGAGCCAGGGCTGGCGCCAAGTTAGTTTTTTCGATCTTCAGACTCTGTTTTGATAAATTATCTTTTTTGGATTTTTTTTCTCTATAAATATCGTATCAAGAACTCCGTTTTCATTCATCTCCAATTATCATTCATCAACAATCACTTTATGATTCACCAATTCTCTTTATTCTTAAGTTCTTCATTAACTCTCTCTTCATCTACATCATTCATTCATCAATTTTCAATAACATTAATCTTTTAGCATTCTTTTCTATACTTTACTTTTTCACACAAAATTCCGCATTCACAAGATCTTGAAACACCTAGCCATATTCGAAGTTGCCTTCGCCCTAGACGTGAAAGGTTTTAATTTCTGAGGGTTTGGTCCCAAATCTCTCTTTCAATTAATTTAATTTAATTGTTTTGATTATTATTTTTCCTTGAAGTTACTAACGCGTGTATTTTGTAATTAGAAAGAGGTACGAGGCATCCAAGTAAGTATTTTAATGGTTTAATTGATTTCATGATGTAGATATCATGCTTAGATTGTTATTTATGATTCCTAGTATCATGTCTAGGGTATCTTTAATATTAAGTATGATTAAAAGTATGATGCTTCCTATGTTCTTCCTAATATTTATGATTATTATTATTATGATTATGAATGATTATTGATTATTTATTATGTTGCTTGATATGCATATTATTTTATATTATTTATTTCTTGATCACCTTTTATGTATGGTTAAAGGGAATTGGTATTTGCAACCACGCTTAATAAGATATTAATAATCTTGTTAGGTTAATTGTGATTATAAATTCAAGTGATCGCCAATAATAGACTTGTTTGTGCATTAAATTCAACCAACATAGTTTAAACAGGTTTAAGGTTAATCCTATTGATTGTATGTTAGTCAGAAAGCGCACATGAATACGATCAGAATAAAGTAGAGGCCTATTATTAAGGCAGGTTCAATCTCTTTTAGGTTGGATTTGTACCATCATCCCCGAACCCTTATTTGGTTCATGACCTTATGGAGTTGACGATCTCTTGGATCGTTAAGGGGTGTAACCTTCATCCTATGAACGGTTTACAAGTTCCTTAAAAACTTGTTGGCGACTCTTTTTCTCTATCTTCTTCCCTTTTGGACGCCACCGTAATTTAGTGTATGATCACAGTGGGGTTCAAGCTAGTGGGATTTTAAAGGCTTGAAACTATTCCCTACACATATACTCTTAATTTCTTATTATCTACTCGTATATAATCATCAAGTTCCACCAAAAAAAGATTTGTTTCAAAAAAAAAAAAAAAAAAATACAATCATCAAGTTTCTTGATTGTTGGAGATAAATGTACGTACTTGTATAATAAAACATATAATGGACACTTTGTTTTAATTTTCACAAAGTCTTATATGTGGCTGGTCACACCGTGTGGCCAGTCACTATAGGGGTTACTTTGCTAGTGTAATGGGGGTTACTTGATAGTGTTAAAGGGGTTACTTCATCATTGTTATAGAGTTACTCGGTCAGTGTTATAGGGATTACTTAATTGGTATTACAGGGGTTACTTAATCAATGTTATAGGGGTTACTTTAAGTGGTCACACGGTGTGGTCGGCCGCACACAAGACTAACCTCCTCACGGCCAAACAAAATTTATTATAATCCTAAACTAACCCCTAAACAAGTCTAGTGGTAAGTTCGGAGTCGAACCACAAGGAACGGTAATGTTAGATCGATTGTTCTCGATCTAATGCTTAAGCTACACCGAAGTCGGTTTATGGATAGTGGACACTACAACTACACTAACACACATATAAAGAACAAATATTATAAAGTCTACTAGGGGTAAAGATCCACTTTGAACAATTAACAAGTTAATGAGAATCCATTTGAAAATCAATCATGCAAAGAAAGAATTAAAATGGGAATTAATTACACTCAAGAGCAATCTCTCAAATTCCTAGCCTAGATCCCTCATTGACTAGGTGCATAGAAGAAATTTACCCAATATGCAATCAAATATAACAATTCTAATTCACAATCCCTTGTTAAACTAGAACTAATATGCAATTAAGTTTGCTATCATGGGAGATCAATCCAATCTAAAACAAACAACATGCCATCATCAATTCAATCAATTTAATCACACAATTATCATCAAATTTATCTCAAATAACTCAATTAACCATTACAAAGCTTCACTCAACACCTAGT